AAGAGATGACGGAGGAGAACGGGGAGCGGCGGCTGGTGGCCGCCCAGAAGAAGAAGGTGCTGAAGCTGGGCCCGCTCAAGCGCAAGGACACCAAGAAGATGGTGCTGCACATGAGGAACGCGGGCACCTGCCCCTGCCCCCAGCTTGACAGCCTCAGCGGCAGCTTCCCGGTGGTGGGGCGCACAGCCGCCTGCTCCTCCTTGCCATCTACCCCTGGCAGAAGCACAACAAGGAGATGAAGTTTGCTGTCAAGTTCATGTTCTCCTACCCCTGCCCCCTCTACCACCCCCTGCTCTACGGGGCTGGGCAGCACTAGGGCTCTGCTCACCCTGCCCAGTCCCAGGACTCCGGTACCGGCTCAACGCTGAATCCCGGGTTGTATCCCAGGACCCTGACTCTGCTCCCCTCAGTCCCTTGGCTGTGCTCCATGACCCTGCTCTGCACCCCCAGGATTCCCAGCTGAATTCATGGGAGCTTTGATCCGCAGCCAAGACCTCTGCCCCCTCCCAAGAGTCCTGCTCTGCACCCCTGGGACCCCTGCCCACACCCAGGACCCTCGCTTTGCATGCTTGTGACCCCTGGTCTGCACCAGAGACCCTTGGCTACTCCCAAGCCCCCTGCCCAGCACCCCAGGGACCCTACCTTGCACTTTGGATCCCTGCTTGGCTCTTGTGGGACCCTTTGGCTGCACCTGAAATCCCTACCCAGCACCCCTGTGCCCCCTGCTCAGCTTCCCAATGACATCCTCCCCCAAATCCCTATTCCAGCCCACCAAAGCATCCCATGCCCTCACACCACAGCCCTGGATTATCCCATCTTCACAGGGAGCCATCCTGGCCAAAGCAGGTCCCTGCTGCCCCACTATCCCCACAGATTGACCCCCTCAAAACCAAGTGCCCAGAGCAGCACAACCCCTGCCTGGGCTCCCCCACCCTTCCCATCCCACATGGCTCAGGGGGCAGGGAGGTCCGTCTCCAAGCCCCCCACACCAGCCCTGCTGCATCCCTCACACATCCCTCCCCTGCTCCCCCTAAACCCAGCCCAGGCACCCCTTGCCCATCCACACCACAGTAAATTATTCTGTTTCAGAGAAGCCTGAGTCCAGCTCCCTGTGGTTCATGGGCAGGTGCCCCTCAGGGGCCCCAGGAAGGATGGGGCAGCCTCGGGGAGAGGGGTGACCCCAGGTTCCGGCTCTAACCCTGCCCCAGGTGCCATGCCCAGAGCCTGAAGCTGCGCAGCCCGGCAAAGCTGAGGGATGAGGTTTCCAGTGGTCACAGGCATCCCTGACACTTCAGGGAGGGTGGTGGGCACGGGACAGGGGCATCACTGCTGCTGGAGCCCCACAGCTGGGCCTGAGGGTGTTAGAGAGGTTTTGCTCTCAGTCACCCCTGGGAAACAGATCCATGGGCTGGGAGTTGGGGATCCACATGATGAGCCTGGCACTGAGCATAGCAGGGGACAGATCCTGGAGCCTCCATCCCCGGGCAACCCACCTCTGCACCACCTGAAAGCCCTGGCTGCAGCTCCCAGCCAGCCCTGCTCGGCTGTCAGACCTCCAACCTCCTCCCAAAGGGTTCTCCGGGGCCACCCGGGACACCCCCAGCAGCACTGGGATCAGGGCAGCCCTCAGCCTGGCCTCTGACAACAGCAGAGCTCTGCCCCTCGCCCGGGCACCCCCAGTCCCAGCGCAGGGGCTGCCTCTGCCCCAGCAGCCCCCCAGTCCCAGCAGGCGAGGGGGCAGCCTGCCTGCCCCATTCTGGCCTCCCCCCGTCCCGCCGGGTGAGGGAGGCACGAAGGCGGCCACTGGGATATTTACCCATCGCCTGGCTGCCCGGCACTGCGGCTTCTCACCGGAGCTGGCCCCGCCGCAGGGG